GGAAAACTTAAACAGATAAAAGACTTATTAAAGGAATATGTACAGTTATCCCTGTTTTCAGGCACTCTGTTTGAGAACATTTTAGCCATTGATGTTCACACGGGGCATCAGCCCATGCAAGATAGGTTTCTGTATTTATATATTAAAATACAAAAAAAAAAAAAACCTTATAAAATGTTTAAAAAAATGTTCAAAGCTTGGGGGAAAAGCTTTCTTCATTAGTCAAGGTGTTTTGATATGGTATTAAAATGTCTAATAAAAGATGCACTGTGTGGCTTTATTTTAATGAGGTATTGTTAAACAATCAAGAAATGGGGGTTGAAGGCCTATCCCCCACTCCCTCACCTACCTCCTTAGCCTTCCTCCAGGCTGCTACTTGGCACCACAGGAGTGTGAAGTGGTCTTCAGAGCAGTCATGCCTGGGCAGAGGGAACCTGGCAGGTCAGACCCGAGTCCTTCAGGGTTACTGGCCCTCCCAAGCATCATGGAGTCCATCTGCCATCACCCGTGGAGTGGTTGTGACAGAACGCTTCAGGAAAGATCTGCGGGGGCAAAAGATCTTGCGGCCGGTGGAGGCTGCAAGGATGCGGATTCTTCCAGGTATCGGCCCAGTCCCCGCCTTCCTCCTCAGCTCCCCATCCCACGTCCCGTCCTGCCCTGCCTGTTGCTCAGTCTGCATCTCAGTGCTGACTCATGGGCATGCTTCATTGAGGCCCAGAAAGAGGCCCTGATTTGGGGCTGAGCCAGCTCAGAGCCCTTGAACTAGAAGCAGCCACTCCGGGCTCACAAGAGTTGGCACACCTCAAGCTGGGCGGGAAGCTCAGAGCAGGGGGTAGGGATGCATGCCCGGCCTCTGTCACCGTGCCAGAGGGGCTCCTGGAACGGCATTCCAGAGCCTCCTGCAGAACCTGCGGAGGAAGGCTCTGGAGGGAGATGCCTCCAAGCTTCTGTGCCCACACCCCCCCGCCAGGCCTTTTGAGTGCCCTTGCCTCTGTGGGCTCTGCCTCCCCAGGCCCTGTCTACAGTGCTCTAATGTCACACGCCTCCCGAAGCACCTACTCTGTGCAAGGGCACTGCAGCCAGTGGGCAAGTGTGAACCAAGGCACAGGCACGCTCGGCATGTTCAGAGAAATGCTAAAGAATTTGTGGGTCTGAGCGTCAGAAAACCCTCCCCCCCCCCCGGGGACCAATCATCCCCAGGGTGGCAAGAGCATGAGCTCTGAACTGTCTGCATGTGAGCTCCTCTGTCGGGCAGAATGATCCTGGGGAGACGACTTTGCTCTTCTGAACTTCAGATTCGATCGCATGTGATCACAATGTTGCACAGCTCAGAGGTCACTGTGAGGGTCAGAGAATCTGCCCGGAAGCCCCTGCCACATGCATAGCAGGCTCCCTGGTAGTCTGTCACTGCAAAGAGCACTGTTCTATTCACAGCACCTCCTGCTTCTGCCTGGCAACTGTGTCTCCCTGTTCTAAATTTAATTCCTCTAGCAAAGCTGGCCCTGGAGATCTCCTTGCCTGACCCCTGGGCCTGCAGGCGAAGGCTTCTGTGACCACCTTGGTGGCTTAGGCCCTGTGGCCTTGGCAGCACCCTGGGTGAGCCAAGTGGTCATGACCCAGTGGGGCAGGCTGGAGCCCACGGCCGGGGGCTATTCCAGGCTCCTGGGGCTGGTCCCTGTCCCCACCCCCAGCGACTTGCACTCCCACCCAGCGCACCGCACAGCAGCCCTCTGCTGGCTGTGGTGTTCTCCGATTCCACCCCGGTTGCCGCCAGCTCCTCTGGCGGGGGTGGAATGGGCTGGTGCAGGCTTCCCGGGTGGGACTGGTCTGTCATTCATGCTCCATCCGGGCAGTTCTCCCAAGCTCTGTCTTTCCGGGAGGGGAGGGAACCGGCAGGAACTGCGAGGAGGCTTCTGCCCCCTCCCTCCGCTAAGGGCCCAGCACACTTTGCAGGGCTCCCTGGCCAGAAGCACCTCCCTAAGACCGTTCATCTAGCAGCCATTTAACAGTGTTGAGGTTTTTAGAAGGTCCTTATGCTTAGGAGATAGATGCTGAATTCTGTAGGTAAATGGTGTCAAGAGATGTGTAACTCAATTCCAGATGGTTCCCCAGAAAGTACACACACAAAGCAAATAAGGCAAAAATAGTCACTTGAGTCCTCAGGGGCTGGTATTTCAGTGAACAGTGTGCTTGTTCTTTCAGCTCATCAAAGAAGAGCCATCCCCAGTAAGGGGAGAAACCTCCACTGCGGACTTCTCCCCTGGGCTCAGGAGCGAGGCAGTCGGGTGGAGGTGGGGGGTGCGGCCAGGGAGCTGTGTGTCCAGACATGCTCGGCTGACGCTTAGATTGTTCATGGAGCGGGGTCGCTTGGGGAGAGCCGGTGAGGCTTGCCCCCACACCACCCCCTTGGCCCAGCGATTGCTCGTGGCTCCGGGCTAGAAATGTCACAGAGGAGCAAACTGGGCTCAGTCCAGCGTTAAGAGTGGCTTCCAAGAACCAAGTTGGGCTGAGGAGTCCCAGAAGGGCAGCCTCTGCCCAGGGCCTGGACAGCTGATCGGAGAGGCAGGAAGGGGTCCAAGGGGTGGAGGCAGGGAAGGAGCTCAACGGTGGCTTGTGGGGGTAAGGGGAGATGGGAGGGTACCAGTCTCCCTGCTTTGCTCACTCAGCACTTTTGCTCAGGGGCCAAGGGATATGGGCCCGAATGATGGGCTCCTGGGGCGGAGTTTAGAGACTGGCTTCCAGGACACCAAGCCTCCCCCACCCCAACCTCGGGGAAGTAGTGAGGGGGACCCAGGGAAGGGAGCTCTAGGCCCTGGACAGAGGTGAGTCCTGGGTGCCGCTGCCCAGTGCGGATGCTCTGGTGTTGGGCGCCCTCTCGTGGGCTTGGGAACAACCGACAAGTTCACGGACCAAGCGGTCTGGCCAGGGATCCTAAGGTCTGGGGGAGGCCCAGGGGAGGGCAGATCCTGGCCTGGAGGGGAAAAGCTAGTAACCTGATACATCACAGCATGGAGCAGTATAACACAAGGAGAAAAATTTCACTTCCATTTCCACTGATTGGCAACAGCCACTTGGAGAACATGTTCAGAATGTTCTTAGGCCCAGTCCAGGCTCAGGTGGGTGGCCTGTCGTGAGGGATGTCGGCCACGGGCCATGATGTCATCCCCTCAGGCACTGGTCTTCTCACCAGCAGCAGATGGGTCAGGGACCTGGGTCCCTGGAAGCGACTTTCAGTAGCCTAAGCACCATCCCCTCCCAGGCTGCAGTAAGTCAGAGGACAGGCAGGGGACGAGGGACGAGGGACGAGGGACAAGAACAAAGGTCAGAGAACCTGAAGGAGGGGTAGGGAGGGCAGGCACAGGAGGGCGTTCACAGGCACTGTCTGCTCATGTCCAGACTGCTGCAAATGGGGTTCTAGTTTATTTCAGGGGTCCGAGGACACCTACACCAGGAAAGCATGTGCCTGTCACCAGGCAGGCAGAGTAGGGCTAAGAGAGCTCAGTCCCTGAGGCCTTGCCCCTGGCCCCTGGCAGCGGGGAGGCTCTGACCAAGGGGAAGGCAGGCAAGGACCCCTGCAGGTCTGGGCCAAGACAGAACTGTTCCGTGACGAGAAGGAAGGTTCCAGAACAGGAGGTTTCCACTGTCTGGGGGCTGCTGGGCCAAGGGCTTGGAGCCCCTCACAGCACCTTGCCTGGGTTCATGAGGCCTCGGGGATCCAGCGTGGCCTTCAGCTGCCGCATGGTCTCCATGCCCACGGCGCCCACCTCCTCCTGTAGCAGCTGCCGCTTGCCCAGCCCAATACCGTGTTCCCCAGTACATGTCCCGTGGAGTGCCAGTGCCCGCCTGGGAGGCAGTGAGGAGATCCTCAGCAGGGTGCTCCTCCGCCCGACCCCGCCAGCCAAGGGTTTTGCTCTTACCTGCCCAGATGTTCTCCAAAGGCCTTGACCCGACGCAACTCCTCGGCATCCTCTGGGTCCACCAGCAGGATGCAGTGGAAATTGCCGTCGCCCACGTGTCCAACAATGGCTCCTGGGGGCCCAGAGGACAGAGCTGCTGCCCCAGCCCAGCCCAGCTCCTTCCCTCCCGCATGGCGCTCCAGCGGGGGGGCATGCGGACCTGTGAGTCCCGAGGCCTTCAGGTCCTCCTTGGTCTGCACCAGGATCTCTGGCAGCCGGGAGATGGGCACACACACGTCAGTGGAATAGCCCTAGGTGAGGGCAGGTTTGTGAGCTTCTCCCCCCTCACCCCCTGCCGGCCCGGACGTTAAGAGGTCCTTGTGGTCAAGGTTAAGAGCAGGCCTCACCCACAAAAACTAGCTGCTTTTCTCTAGGCCTGTTTCCCCTGGACAACTGGACAAATGGCCAGAGTGAGTGCCCTGCCCTGCCCTGCCCGCGGAGGCTTCCCCAGCTCTCACTTTGCTCCCCGCCCCGCTCTGTGCAGGGCCCCAAGCAGCCCACGAGGCCGAACCTTTGCACGTGCTGCCTGGAGCCCAGTGTCCCCTTCCTGTTGGCTGACCCCTTCCGCTTCATCATCTCTCTCCAGCCAGCCTCACAAACCCTAAGAGCACCTGCTCTGTCCCTGTGCCCAGGCGGGGGCTCCCTCCTGAGGGTTTGGCAGACAACTACTTTCCCCACTAGACAGTATCTGAGAAACAGCTGGGTAGGGGCAATGCTGCCCACGGTGGGCCTCAGGCTACTGCTCGGGACAACAGGGTGGCGGGCTGGGGGTGCCGCCACCACCCCAGCCCAACTCACCTTGCAGCCCGGCCGCAGGGCCAGAGCGGCGTACCCGGCGTTGTGCCGCGCCGCCCAGAGCCGGCTGCGCTCCTCGGCCCCCTTGGCCCAGAAGAAGTGGGAGCCTCCGTTGTGCTGGCTGATCTCCTCTGCAAGGGGGGTGGGGGGGGCGCGGCGGGAGGGGGGTGGTCCCACGGGGCCTTACTCAGGGCCAGCCTGTGCCCCCCCACCCCACAGCACCCCAGCACACCTGCCCGCTCTATCTGCTCGGCCAGTGCCCGCTCAGATCCGTGGAACTCGAGGAAGAGTGTGGGCGCCACGGAGCAGGTCAGCCGGCTGTGCCTGTTGCAGGCATCCATCATGACTTCATCCAGAAACTCTGGGGCCGAGGAGAGGGCAGGTGAGGGGAGGCCCAGACTTCAAAGGGGGCCTCTTCCGGGAAGCCCACCTGGACTGCCCAGTCCCCAGCTCACCGATGCGGGCCAGAGGCAGTGCAGCCTGGAGGATGTGAACAGTGGTGTCCACGGCCGCCTGGACGCTGGGAAATGCACAGGTGGCGGCCACCGCGGCCTCGGGGGCAGGGTGCAGGCGCAGGGTGGCAGCTGTGATGAGTCCTAGTGTCCCTTCAGAGCCCACAAAGAGCCCCGTGAGGTTGTAGCCAGCTGCACTCTTCCTAGGCCCCGGGGACACACAAGGTGGGTGAGCGCCCAGCCATGAGATGACGGGTTTCTGGCCACAAGCCCGAGCCGGACGCCCAGCTCCGTCCCCCAGCCCCCTGCCAGGTGGGGGCGTCGGCCCAGCCTGCCATCACCACCGCTGTTCCTTGCGCAGCCCCAGCTGGGCCTGGCGCGGGAAGAACTGCGTCTCAGACCGGGGCGGACTCATTGGCCTGGCCCACCAATCCAGGAGGCCGTTGCCGTGGGCAGAGGGTGCTCACCGGAAGTGCCGGCCGGCGCCGGCGGTGTGAAGCAGCCGGCCGCCAGGCAGCACCACCTCCAGGTTGAGCACGTTGTCCCGCATCGTGCCATAGCGCACAGAATTGGTGCCGGAGGCTGCCGTGGCCACCATGCCGCAGAGCGAGGCGTCTGCGCCTGGGTCTGCAGGGCAGAGTGAGGCCTGGGGCAAGTGCCCGGGGATGGAGGGGTCCCCTCGTGCCCCGGGAACAGCCCTGCCACCTGGTAACCCTCGGGGCCCCAGGGAAGGGCCTCCAGTTCCAGCCTACCCACAGGAAACCAGAGGCCACTGTCCCGCAGGTAGGTGTTGAGAGTTTTGCGGGTGACGCCCGGCTCCACCACCACACAGAAGTCCTCCGGATCCAGCTTCAGGATGCGGTCCATGTGGGTCAGGTTGATGCAGACACCGCCCTGGCAGGAAGCGGTGCCAAAGAGCTGATGGACCCGCATCTTCCCAGAGCCAGGCCACCTTCCACAGGAGCTCATCTCCAGGGTGCCCTGGCATCCGGTCGGGAGCCCGCCCCCCGCCGCCCACGGCAGGTAAGGCAGGGTGGAGGCAGCCACAAGTGTGACAAGTGGGAGGGGGCCAGAGCCCGGGGGGGGGCGGGGGGGGCCTACCTGCACGGCACAGACTCCACCCTCAAGCCCGGTGCCAGTGCCAAACGGGATAATGGGCACTCCTTGGCTGTAGCACAGGGCTGCCAGCCGGCTGACCTGTTCCACATTCTGCGGCCACACCACAGCACCTGGAGGCTGGCACCTAGAACCAGACCCTTAGCAGTTTCCGGGAGCATGGTACCCACTGGTCCTGCTCATGTCCAAGGAGCCCCGAGGTATCACAGGGCCTGAGGCTACATGGTGGGAGAGGGATGGGTGTGGAGGAGGGGCAGACAACGCCAGAGCCCCCCTAAGTCGGATGAGTGGGGGAGAAGACAGCCCGGGCCCCTTACTCCCAGCCCAGGGCTCTGGTGGGGGAGGGGCCCCCAAACCTGTGCATGGACTCATCGTGCCCATGCTGCTCACGGTCGGCGGCAGCGGTGGACACGTGCGGGCTCCCCACAACTGCCTTCAGAGCCTCCACAAAGCCTTTGCTGAGCTCGCCCTGCAGAGAAGAAACACGCCGCCAGAGTCGCTCAGAGGCCCCTGGGGCTCCGGGGGCAGGTCCTGGAGTGGGGGAGGGGCTGCCGGCACTTCTGCCCCCACCCCAGCCCCACTGACACCACCCCGAGGGCCAGCACCGCTAGGCCTTGCCAGTGCGCCCACTGGAAGCAAACCCACTCTACAAAAATGCCCCTTTCCGAACAGAACCATCGAGATCAATGTTTCACGTGGGGAAAAAACACCACCTGGGTAAAAATAGGAGCCAGATTCACTCTACAAAAAGGAACGTCACAGGGTTCCATAACGTAGCCAGCCCTGCCTTAGTAGCTCGGAAGGGTTACTTATCTCTGCCCGTCCTCCAACACTGCCCCAGGCGCACCGAGAAATGCTGAGTTTGATAAAGAAAGAATGGGAATGGAAAGCCTCCTGGCCAGTCCAGAGGGGCGCCGCCTCCCACATTTTTACCTCCCAGGCATTGTTTCAAAATGTGTCTGCACATTTGGGAGCCCCAGAGAGGGCGCCCTGGAGCCCATATGCTTTTGATTTTACACCCCATTTACAGTCCCATTTGTGGCAGCCGGGGGGGCCTCGGCCCATCTCACTCAACACCCACGCTTGGCAGAGTGAGCCCAGCGATCCTCTGCTCAAGGTCGCAGGGTGCTGATGCAGCACAGAGCCTGGCGGAAACTTGGCATCTGGCCGCCCACCCTCCAGCGGGCTTCCCCCCCCACCCACCACCTACCTGCGTTCCCCTGGAGCAGTAGCCCCTCCAGGGGAACAGCCCCCAGGTCGCAGCAGCGCGGAGCAGACAGGCCATAGCGGGGTGCACACTGAGGTGGGTGGCCAGGTGGCCGCACCAGCCCATTGGCTGTGCAGCGGGTGGGGCTGCTTAAGGTGACGCGGCCTTAAGGTGGCCCTGCCAGACCCTGCTGAGTCAGGCACAGCAGCAGGCGCGTGTCAGTACTCCTAAAGGAGAGGTGAGGCTTACCTAACACAAAGGGAAACAGGAGAGCAGCTTCTCGGGCTTAACGCTCTGCGGTGGTTTCCCTTGGTCTCTCGAACAAAGACAGGCTCCTTGCCATGGACTTAATCGTCCCGCCGGTCCCTGCTCTCCTCTCCATCAACCCCACTTCCTTCCAGTCTCCTCTTTGGCGTCTGAGTTCCAGTTTCCCTTTGGGTTCCTGTATCCCCTGAGCTCCAGCTCATCTCAGGGCCTTGGCGCACACGCTTTGTCTCTCTCACCCTGCAAGTCTCAGCTTGTGTCACAGTTAGAGGAGACCGAGAGCAGGACTGTGAGGAGGGAAGTGCATGGAGCCAACTTCAGGGATGGGATGGAGTAGGGCGGTGAGGTAAGCCCGGAAGGCTCCCTGGAAGAGGAAAGCTAAGTGTGCGTTATAGTTCACCAGCTCAGTAAAAGGAAAAGCCAGCTGTCCTTTCATCTCCACCCTCCCGCTGGGTGGATTTCAGAACCATCCTGCAGTGATGGGGCTGCCGCTCTTGAAGCTCTTCCAAGCTCCGTTTTCCTTCCACAGCAAATTTGGAGAAGCATGCTGCTAACATTACTAAGATAAAGCTATTCCCAGCTTTGTTTTTCTTCTCAATTGAATCACGAATACAAACTCCTACTTGGGTCCTTCTCCCCAGCCACGTTTGAATGAATTCACATTTCCACTCTCTGCGTGTTGCTTCACTGGCTTGTCTCAAAAAAACGTCTCTTTTACAGTTGGTTAGCTCAAATCAAGACCCCGTGAAAGTCCACACAATACATTGGTTAACATGTCTCATAAATCTCTTTTCATCTCTAGCGGTTTCCCTCTCCCCTCACTTTTTTCCCATGCCATTTATTTGTTAAAGAAACTGGGTCACATGGGACTCGTGGGTGGCTCAGTCGGTTAAGCATCTGCCTTCAGCTCAGGTCATGATCCCAGGGTCCTGGGATGGAGGCCCGCATCGGGCTCCTTGCTCGGCAGGGAGCCTGCTTCTCCCTCTGCCTGCATCTCCTCCTGCTTGTGCTCTCTCTGTGTCAGATAAATAAATAAAATCTTTAAAAATAAATAAATAAATAAAAGAAACTGGGTAGCTTGTTCTGCAGAATTTTCCACATTCTGTATGTGGATGATTGCATCCATGTGGTATTGCTTAATATCTTCCTTTAGTCTCTGTATTTCACGTAAATTGTTAGATCAAGATGTGGGACTGTCCAGTACAACTTTCTGTTACTTACGGAAGTGTTCTGTAACTATGCTTCCGTTAGCCACACGTAGCTAATGGTCCTGGAGGTACCTATGATTGGAGGAGAGACGCCAGGGAGAGTTTGTGGCAAACCCTACAAGAAGAACCCTACTATAGATCCCTAAGGTTTGGGAGCAGGGTCATGACATTTGCAACAGAGACTATACACCATTCAGAAAAGTACCCCTGGCCCACTACTAGGTCCTGGTTATGATGGTGAATGTGACCACAAGATATCAAGTGCCCACATGGTCGGAGGTGGCCATCATGAGCTGTGAACGTTCTATCAGACTCACCGAGTCATAAAGGCAGGTGGGTCCAAAACAAGCCAGCACTAGACAAGAGAGAAATAGACAAAATTGGGCACAAGCAGGGCCAGAGGGCAAATTAAGCTGCACAGGTAGATGGCTCGGATCCCCAGGTCACCCACCATCGAGTGGCCAGCACCTTTCCCTCAGCTCACACCTCCATGGCCGTAACAGGGAGCTCTTACTACCAGCTGATAGAAGAAGAGTTCAAGCTCGATTCATGAATGCGTTGGCTCAGTATGAGGGTGTAAGCTAACAATGGACTGTCACTGCGCTATAGCTCCACTTAGGGGTAACTGAAGTCCCTCCAGTTGGCAGAGCTCCAGGTCACACACCTGATCATCCCCTTTCGTAAAAAGAAAAATGGCCCGATAGAAGAATAAGTATAGGCTCCTGGGTAACGGTGAATGGCTTGAAGGAGAAAGATTGGAAAATCAGGGTCCAAAAGGTTTGGAGAAGAGGCATGTAGATGGAATCTCTAGGAGTAAGCACAAAGTGGGATCTCTGGAGCATGGGCATCACACGTTAACACCCATCAGTGAGCATCCGCCACGGAAGAGACCAAACGAAGCAGATAGCATGCTTCTGCCGGTCATCATTGGCCAATGATATCAGTGGTCAGTGCCCACTCCAGTGTTGGCACATGGTAGTAGGGATAGAGGCAAAAAATGAATCCACTAGCATGGAACCCACTCACTACAGCTGATCTGGCTACTGCCACTGCTGGGTGTTCACCCTGCTGCAACATTGAATCTCCCACATGGTACCGTTCCTCAAAGAGACCAGCCAGCCTCTTGGTCACAAGTCAGTTGTACTGGATTTCCTCCACTCTGAAAGGGGAGCAATTTGTGTGGGCTGAAATCAACACAACACATATTGTGCGTCTGGGTTTGCCTCTCCTGCCTCCATAGCCTCAGCCAGCCCTACTGTCTGAAGTTTCCCAGAGTATTTGATCCACCAACAGAGTATACCACAGAACATCACCTAAGGCCGAACAACCCACTCTTTTTTTTTTTTTTTTTGGTCAGGTCAGAGGCCACTGACCTTACAGAGCAATGGTGGAATGGCCTTTGGGAGGTACAACTGAGGCACCAGCTTAGAGATGCATCTACTCAACTGTAGTGCAAGAAGAGAAAGATATTTTTATATAACTAACAGATAAAAGGTGAGTTCAAAATGACTTCCAACTTTTTATTTTGAAATAATTTTAGACTTCCAAAAAGACTGCAAAAATAGGACAGGGATTTCTTATATACCCTTAACTTGGTTTTCACTAGTGTTTACATTATATATAACCACAGTACAGTTGTCAAAACTAAGAACTAGTAAAATATTCATTGATATAGTTAGAGAATTGGTGCAAATTTGATTCCACCAGCTCTCCCACTAATGTCCTCTTGTTTCTGGGGGGCGGTGGGGGAGCTGTTTGGTCCAGGATCTCATCCATCATCTCATTCTGCATTTAGTTGTCTTGGCTCCTTTGTCTCCTACAGTGTGTGACAGTTCCTTAGTCTTTCCTTGTCTTTCTGACCTTGACATTTTGAGGAGTACTCGTCAGTTACTTTACTGAATGTTCTTCAGTTTGGGTTGTCTGATGTTTCCTCATGAGTAGATTGAGGTCATCCGTTTTTGGCAAGAATACCACAGAAGCGATGTAGCCTTCTCAACATATCATAACTGTGGTTTAAGATGTCAATATGTCTTATTAGCAGTGACGTTGACTTGGATCACTTGGTTGAGGTCATGTCTGTGTGGTTTCTGCACTGTGAAGTTACGATTTTTCTCTTTTTAATTAACAAATATGTTGGGGTAGATACTTGAAGACTGTGCCAATATCCTGTTTCCTCTCACTTTCATCTGCTATTCTTAGCATCTACTGGTGGATCTTGCCTACAATAGTTGTTTTTGTGGTATTGTTCTAATGGTGATTTTCTACTTCTTTTATTCCTTCTATATAATTTTTTTTCTTTCTATATTATTTAATTAGAATTATTCTCTGGGGCGCCTGGGTGGCTCAGTCACTGAGTGTCTGCCTTCGGCTCAGGTCATGTTTCCAGGGTCCTGGGATTGAGCCCCGCATCGGGCTCCCTGCTCCGCGGGAAGCCTGCTTCCCCCTCTCCCACTCCCCCTGCTTGTGTTCCCTCTCTCGCTGTGTCTCTCTCTATCAAATAAATAAAACCTTAAAAAAAAAAAGAATTATTGTCTAAGGAAGAGCCATTCCTTCTGCCTTATTTATTTCCTTATTCAATTATTTATATATTACCAATATGAATTCATGGATATTTATTTTATTCCATAGGTTATAATCTAATACGGTTACTATTTTGTGGCTCAGTCAGTTCTGGCTTTGGCCACTGGAGGCCTCTGTCATATGGGTTTCTCTACCCTTTAGACAAGCTCACGGCTTTTTTTGAGCGCTGTCTTACTTTCTAGTACTATAAGATGCTCCAGGCTCATCTTGTCTTTCCCCTGATCAGACCCAGTAACCAACCACTTTTCCAAGGACTTCTGGTTCCTTTTAGTGGAGAATAGTATTTAGAAATCGAGTTTTGCATGTTAGATGTGCTCCTACACTCAACAATAAGAAAACAAAAAGCGTGATTAAAAAATGGGCAAAGAGGGGCACCTGGGGGGCTCAGTCACTGAGTGTCTGCCTTCGGCTCAGGTCACGAACCCAGGGTCCTTGGATCAAGCCCCGCATCGGGCTCCCTTCTCCACGGGAGGCCTGCTTCTCCCTCTCCCACTCCCCCTGCTTGTGTTCCCTCTCTCGCTGTGTCTTTCTCTGTCAAATAAATAAATAAAATCTTTAAAAAAAAAAAGGGCAAAATACCTGAACAGACACTTCACCAAAGAAAACATACAGATGGAAAATAAGCATATGAAAAGATGCTCAATATCACCTGTCATCACAAAATTACAAGTTAAAACAAGATGCCACTATGCACCTATTAGAATGATGAATTTTAAAAAACTGACATCAAGAGCTGACAAGGACACAGAGCAACAAGAATTCTCAATCACTTTTAGAAGGAATGCAGAATGGTACAGTCACTTTGGAAGACAGTTTGACAGTTTCTTACAAAGCTAAACATAGTCTTACCATATGATCTAGCAGTCATGTTCCTAAGTACTTACCCAATTGAGCTGAAAACGTATGTCCCTACAGAAGTCTGCACATGAATGTTTACAGCAGCTTTATTCATAATCTCCAAAAACCAGAAACAACCAAGATGTCCATCCAAAGGTGAATGGGTAAGCCAACCATAGTCCATTAAAAC